GATCATATAATCGTCACTGGACATATGACGTTACTTGGAAGTCGAATTATCTGTTACACAGGGGTAACTTTAGTTCGTTTGGTTGTTTATGCTTGTCAATACACCCGATTATAGAGGCGTTAAGTGTGATGAGTGTCGTTTTAATAATATCTACATGAAATTCTTTTAAAGGTTCTGTGCCTGTTTAAGGATAGCTCAATCGGGTCAGTTTTTGGCAGCAGAGGAGCATGAACACGGAAAAAGTAAAGAAACTTCAGCAGAATGCTGCGCAAGTGAGAACTGGTGGGAAGGTAAGATACTTGTTCTCAATATGTAATTCACTGTCGTGATTTTTTTGTAAACGTTCGCAAGACGATTTTTTGCTGCAGGAAAGTATTGTTCTTCTAGGATAAAGAAGAGTTGACGCGTAGCTTTTAAAGTTAGATATCCTGCTATGGGCTTGGAATCTCTGCAGGATTTTTTCTGAACACTCTGTTTTAATTTGAATTTAGCCATTAGCGTATTGAAATAATTTTATTTTATGAAGGTTCTGGTAGTACAGTTATGGGTTGTTCTGGCTACTCTATACATACCCAGCTTTGTGCTTTTTTACCCACATTTTTTGCTGCATCGAACAGTTGCAGCGGAAAATAAATATCAGTTTAAGACGGCTACGTACTTTGCCTGATTAGTCTTTAATAAGAAAGGTTTTTTTTCCAGGGAACTGCTAGGAGAAAGAAGAAGGTAGTGCACAAAACTGCTGCCACTGATGACAAGAAACTCCAAAGCAATTTGAAGAAATTGTCTGTGACAAACATTCCTGGAATTGAAGAAGTAGGAATTTTAAATTGGAGAGTTGTTTTGTTTGAGCATAACGGGAAAGTAAGAAAAGTATTGTTTAGGTGAATATGATCAAAGAGGACGGTACAGTCATACACTTCAATAATCCGAAAGTACAGGCTTCTGTACCTGCAAACACTTTCTCAGTTACGGGGAGTGCTGAAAACAAACGTAAGAGGGTTGCATTTTCTTTTATTTTCAGAAGTACTGTCAAGTTCTCGCACGTTTTAATCTACTTTATGACTTTGGTGATTTTTTTTATTGCACTGAGCTCTCGAAGAATTTTGGATGAGATTGGTTTCAGAGATCACTGAGATGCTGCCAGGTATCTTGAATCAACTAGGAGCAGAGTCTCTTACGCATTTGAAAAAGCTTGCTAATAATGTTACTAGTCAGTTCAAGAACGCAGAAGACGAAGATGTTCCAGGTAATTGTTATAGTAGTCGTCTTCGTGATAACTTTTTGGCCGCCTTCGTCAAGGTTTGAGTCATTATAGAATTGCTTGAAAATTTTGACGAAGCGTCGAAGAATGAATCGAAATTGGATGAACTGAAGCATGTTCATGGTCATGATCACGGGGATGACCATGATCATTGTCACGGACACGAACATAAACAGAAAGATGAACAGGAACATATGGCTGGTGACGACAAGAAGACGGAGCAGCCGGTACAGGAGAAAGAAGAAAAGGTGGCTTCTTAAGACATTTATGCTCACAGAGGGAGTTAAGTTGCCTTTCTATTGACAGCACTCCTCTAAGGTTTTTTGTGGAATGGTTTGTGTTTTCTCCCTCGTACTTTTCCTTCATTGCAACAAAAGCAGGAAGGACTTTTTTTTTTCAACAAAACGTGTAAACATTAAAAATTGAAACATTGGGGACATCGTTCATAGCAGCGCTTCTTTTCTTTGAGTTTCAGTCAGTAGGGGTTCCGACGTTAGTTACTCCACGTGCTAGCTTTTTTATATGTTGCTACTTTTCCGTTACATTTCGTTTCTGAAAATTTTGACTATGCGTATGTTGGGCCTTGTTTTTGTATCTGTTCATTTAAGCTAATAACAATTCTCTTGGACTACCTAAAGGCCTGCTGATTGTTCTTGTTCATATCGTTTATTGTTCCCCTTGTTAAATCTGTATTCGTTTCCTTGTTTTCTGAAAGATTCTCATATCTCGATGTCCTTTAGCAATTGTTGTTATGCATTGTTTGAACTGTTGTACTTGTTACGGGCTTCAGCAACCGCATTGTTAGAAGTGACATTATATTTTTCAGTGAAAATTTTGATCTAATTTTGAATGTCTTTATTGTTCCTTTTGTTGTCTCCTTTTTTGTGTTGCATAAATGTAATAAATTTGGCAAGATTGTTATTAAATTTGTTTATGAGAGGGAACCATTTTGGTAATTAGTAATTGTCCGTAATCTGTACATTTTTAGTGACCTGTCATAAGAAAATAATGACTACTGTTCAGCACCTTGTCTGATATAAGTTTCGTGAAATGATTGTTGCGAGAGTGCTTGAAGATCATTTTTCCATCGAGAGTGGAAATCTACTCTTTGGTTTTGCTTTTTGGACCTTTTTGAGTTCGTTCGTCCTGGTGACCTTACGTTTTTTTGAAGGAAACTGCGATTAAGGAGTGATGGGAGATGCGTTAAGAGACCAGCTTCTTTCCCTGAAAGGTAGCTTTAGTGATTCGCTGTTGTTTAGTTGATAGCTCACTGAGAACGATTGGGGAAAGCTAATAGGGTTGACCGTTTGAAAATGTCTATTGGCTTAAGATTGGTGGGGCTGTATGAGAGTTTTTCCTACCACCTGGTGTTAGTTAGTTTGGGCTAATGTTCTTAAGTTCGAGAACTTGCGGCATCATTGTGCTTGCTTGTTTGCTTAATTTTGAAGTGATGAGGCTGGCGCGACCGAAATTTCACGAGAATGTCTGTTTGCCAGTCGATCCACTAGATCCCATGAGCGGCTTGATCGAATCGGCAGTATGCAGGATGACGGGGCAGGAACAAGCCGATGTGCCCGTTAGCCAATACCTTTTAGTGCCACAAATTTTTGAGTGAGGTTCTATCTGTTGTTTTTTTTTAAATCATTCATTTTTTTGGTTAAAGCTGTTTTTAGGGTTTCTTTAACGCTGCGTTAGCTGTATTGGAATTCAAGTGTAATCTTTTTCAGCAACTTATACTTGGGTGAAACGTTTACATTTTATATATGCGTCCAGAATGAAAGTGTACACAAGGCTACTGAGATATGTGTTAAGGCTAGGTTTTTTTACTTTTAATATATTGCAGTTCTTGAAAAGGTTTTAGTCATTTTCCGCTTTTCATTGTTTATTTCCTTCTAATCAGAATCCGAGCTGTCTGGTTATTGAAATTTAAAAAAGAAGTGCTTTGTTATAAACAGTTATTGGTTTTATTTCAGGTTGACTTACAAACTTCGAATAGACGGGTGGCACTTGTTCCAAAAATGGAGGAAGCAAATGCAACTTTAGGATCTGGTGAACATCTGGGTCAAGTCGTAAGCCATGAAATTAACGAGCAAGGCCAACATATGTTAGATTTTTTCTTCAAAGTTGACTTTTGAACATTTTTTTCGGCTACTGTACGGGATGTATTTGTAATTCATTTTAGCTGTGTGGTGTTTCAAAATTGGATATAAAATAAACCGAGTTTTGAAGCTAAATGGTAGAGAACTTCAGTTTTTATGAGTTATTTAGGTTAGTCTGTGCCGTTAGCTATAAAAATCAGGCAAATGAAAAGATGTTTCTTCGGAAATACTTTAAGTTCCCAGTAACGAAGCCGATCGACGTGAAAACAAAGTTTTATAATGCTGAAGTTAGTTTTAAATACGTCCTTTCATTTTTTGACACGAGTTTGATAACGTGTTTGGTTGTACCAACAAAAACTGCACACAGCCTCTCAATCAATTTTCCTTTACTTTTTTCTTCATTCAGGGCAGTAATTTTTGTTTAATGAAGACTTGAGAAAAAATTGAGGGCATTGCTATTAAGTACTTTAGAAATGTTTTAATAAAGATAAATCTTATTGATCCTGTTTTCAGGACAATTTAGTAAGTTCAGTTTTTATTGCGATATTGGAATCTCAAAGAAAATTTGTTAATTGAACTTGGTCGTTTTTCTCTTACAGTTTACATATTTCGGGTGTTTTGAGGTTCCTCACTTTTTTATCACTATTATTTCTGCTTATAAATTCCCTGACTTCATATTTAAACCGTCACCAAGGTACATGCTTTACGAGTTGTATTTTTAAAAAATTTAATCCAAATAGAATTTTTCTTTTTCGTTTACTCAGAATTTACTAACAATACCAAATTAAGACTTTTATCAGATCCTTGTAAAGTGAAAGACAGTATGAGATGGCAGCAAGATCTACCGTTTTTTCTTTTTTTTTCTTTTTTTTT